AGGAAACAGGCATTATTGTCTTGAAAAAGCAATGTAAAAATGTGGTAAAACCAATGATCCCCAGAGAGTACACAGCCGCAGAATGAGAACATGATGTTTCTTCCATCAGGGCACACAGAGGGGCACTGAGTCTACTTTGAATTCCAACTGTACATTTGTACTCAGTCAGTGAATCTGCCATTGATAACTCTGGATGATTTCCAACATGATGGACTCAGGAGTCTCAGGGAAACCTTGTTTTCCGAATTCATTTCTTGCAATTTATTTTCTAAGTTAAACTTAGTTTGCAAAACTTTCTTTACAGTGCTGATAGGGTTTGATTATCTTTTTTTCTAGCGTTTAGTTTATAGCATAAGATTTTGGATTGCTTCTACAATAAAATGAATATTTCTGACTCTCCCATATTGTTGTGCAATGAAAATAGCCATGAACTGAAAGTCAGGAAACTTGAATTTGATTCTTTTTTTTTTTTTTTTTAGAGGAAGAACGAGAGAAAGAAAGAAAAAGAATAAAGGAAAGGAAGAAAGAGGAAGAGGAAGAGGGAGAGAGAACATGGGTGTTGCTTTATTGCCCGGGCTAGAATGCAGTCTAAAACTGGGTATGCCTGTAATTGTGTTTAATAATAGAGACATTAAAAAAAAATTTGATTCTTCTTTCCTCTTTGTGGCTTGGGCAAGCCACCCAACTTCTGAGAGCCCCATTGTCAGATCTCAGGATCCCATCTGTAGCTACTTTATTATTTTTTTCTTATGTTAAAACAAAATCCCATTTGGGCTCAGAATATCAGAGAACTGAGACAAGACAACTTGGGGAAATAGCTAACACTACTACCAAAGCTACCAGAACAGCTGTAGGAAGCCTTTAAAAAAAAAAAAAACTCTCTGGTGCAACATCTGTCAGCAAAACCACTGACCTTTTACTGTGGATATTCATCCATTTCCATGTGAAGGGAGCCACAGGCGTCTGGCTCAGGGACTGACTGCAGCATGAAGGTTTTCTTTAGTCCCGATCAGAAATTCTAGGTTTGCTGGGTTTACACACTAATTTCCACTCTTTCTTACCCAAAACCAATGCAGTAAGGAGCACAGGGAGTCCAATACCATAACAAACTGTAAACTGAATTTGAAAGGAAAGCAGCAGGGGCCAGAACTCACACTTGTGGAGCCTCACCCTGCTGTGACTGACATGACGTAAGTCGGAGACCTCGGTTCACAGTTTTATGTGACAGGACACAAGAGCAGCCAACTTTAGGGAAGACTGATAGGAAAGCCCAAGGGTGAATCTCTCTGGGAACAGGAAGCAGGTACCGCTGGACCAACAAGGCTTTTGGACAGAGGACTTTGGCAGTTTTTGTAGAAGCAATTGGGCTCCCCTGAAGCTGCCAAGAGGGTGTGCTCTGATCACATGGAGTGTGCATTTCCTTAGAGCTCCTCCCTTCCCAGCCGAAGGAATCCAGAAAGAAGCTGCTGTGCTGCTGTGTGACTTTCATCAATGCAGTGGATTCCTTTATACACACATAGTTCTGGCCGGGCGCGGTGGCTCACGCCTGTAATCCCAGCACTTTGGGAGGCCGAGGTGGGTGGATCACGAGGTCAAGAGATTGAGACCATCCTGGTCAACACGGTGAAACCCCGTCTCTACTAAAAATACAAAAATTAGCTGGGCATGGTGGCTTACGTCTGTAATCCCAGCTACTCGAGAGGCTGAGGCAGGAGAATTGCTTGAACCCAGGCGGCGGAGGTTGCGGTGAGCTGAGATGGAGCCACTGCACTCCAGCCTGGGTAACAAGAGCGAAACTCTGTCTCAAAAACAACAACAACAACAAAACAAACAAAACAAAACAAAACAAAACAACAACAACAACAACAACAAAACATACAGTTCTCATAAGCAGAGAAAAAGATAACATTATATATATCCCTCTCTCCCCCAAATTTTCTTATTTTCTTTTTGGTAGGATTACAATCTTACCACTGTCAAACGTGTCCCGTACACCAGGGAGGATTTGTGCTACCTGCATAAGAATCACACAGGGTGCTTGCAAAAAATACAGGTTTCTGGGCTCCACCCCAGAACTATTACATCACTGCATCAGGAGGGAGGGAGGGGGAGAGAGAGAGAGAAAGAGAGAGAGAGAGAGAATGTATGTGTTGAGAGGTCAGGAACTTGCATTTTTTATCTGCATCCCACATGAAGTTTGAGATCCTCTGGTTAATGCTAACACAACAAGCTATCAAGTTTGCAAATCTGGCCTCAGCCTTCTTTAAAACCCATCCATGATTCCTCTTCTCCTGAGGTCTAGAATCTCAGCATGACACACAATTCTTCCCATGAGCTGGCCTCTCCCTTCCTTTCCAGACTCAGCTCCAGCTTGGATGAAATTACAAATCACAAACAACACATTATTTTATGTTTGCCATGCTTTGTTGGTTCCTACTCTTGGAGACTCAAGATGATGTCTACTTGTCTTTTCATGACTACCTTAAGAAACCTTCTAGAAACCTTCCCAGGTAAGTCCTCTATTTTCAGACTAGGCAGCTTGAGTTTTCTTCCCCTATGTTCCCATACTGTTTATGCCAGTTTTTCTCAATCTGGGTACTTTTGACATTTGGGGCTGGATAATTATTTATTGTGAGGAGCTGTCCTGTCATTGCAGAATGTCTAGCAGCATCTCTGGCCTGTACCCACTCCATACCAGTAGCAATCCCTCCTCTTTTGCCCAATTGTGGCAACCAAGAATGTCTTCAGACATTGCCAAATCACCCCTGATGTGAAAATGTTCCTGGCTGAAAATACTGATCTGTGCTTACATGTATCACAGCCCTCAACAAATAGTGTGAAAAGTAGCTGTTTGCTGGTTTATCTTCTCTAATCTAAAAGACTGAGATTATCTCAAGAGTAAGGAGTGTATAAAATTAATCTTTGTGTCCTGAGCACTAAAGCACAACATCTAATGCATAGTTAGACATATAATACACATTTCTAGAACAAAACTTTGTTGATGGAATAGATGTCAGAAACCCTAGACAATCTTGGTTGGCTCTACTGCTTGCAATGCTGTGACTGGGGATATATTAGTTAACAGCTCCGTGCCTCAATTTCCTTTATTTGGAAAAGTGGGGTAACCATGCCCACCTTGCTTATTTGGGTCATTATGCAGGTATGGGAAAGTATAAAGTGTAGGAAGTAGCCTGTTTACAGTCACATTACCTAAAGGTTGTTGTTCTCATGTTTGCCTTCTCTGGATAACATTGAAAATTCAGGGGCACCCAAACAATATCATCCATTTTAACAATAGCTGAAGGATTTTATTAATGCAGAATGTTATAAATGTAAGAAATCTTATTGAAAATTACTGAACCCCCAATCTGGAATGAGACCAACATTAATTGTTAAAGAGTTCTCTTAACATTATGCTGTACAACACACTATTGATATCCTAAAGATCAAACACTCTCATCCCTATCTGTTATGCCTCTGGATAAAGACTTAGCCAGGCCTAAAGGAGCCTTCTCTGCTACAGGCCTATCTCATTTTTTTTGTCCTTGAGAAACTGCCAATCCCACTCTTTGCACCATCTTCTGTCCTGGTTCCTTTCTGCTCTGTGCTGGGGCAGTCAGCTGCTTCCTTGCTTCCTGACTCTGTATCAGCAATAGGAAATTAGCAGGTTTTGCATCTATGGGATGCTTCTCCTGTTATTTATTACCTTCAAGAAGAGCTTTGTCTCTCTCTCTCTCTCTCTCTCTTATTGTCTCTTTCTCTGTCTCTATCAGTCTCTCTGTCTATTTTTCTCTCTTCCTGACTCTCTCTCTCTCCCTCTCTCTGATTATTTTATGACTTCCTTTTGTACTTCAGCCATTCCATCACTGTTGCCTCCGTACTATCCCAGCACTGTGGTAGGGTGCTTTATATACAGTATATCTCTCCCTACTATTACAGAAATAATTAGCTTCCAGATTGTGGTCAGCTGAGAAGGACCCTGTTGCATGGAAATGTGGACTGTGCTTCTCCCTGTGCCACCATCAACGCCCCCCCCCCCCCGACCAGCTGCAGCTGGCCAGGATTTCTTGTTAACCATTTCATGCTCCAAACACTTAGAGTACAAAAGCACTTAAAAGCTGTGAGATTCTATGCAAAGCCGTCAAAAAATCCTAGACACATATACTGATAGTGTAGCGAAAAGGCTGGGAAATCTTCTAATCTAGCTCTTTCACTTTAGTCTCAGGAATATTGAAACCTGAAGTGGTTAAGTGACTTACTACCACTTTCTTTGCAGTTTCTAATCACCTCAAAAAGCCAATCTGAATCATTCTGTTATCTTTTAAGTGTATCATGACTAATCTTTATTTTCCAATCTTTCCTATACTTCACGGTCTGCTCTTTTAAGCTTAAAATAATGAGCTCCTTTTAGTACAGACTTTGGAGATGTTTCATCTGAAAAACGTGATAGATGTTGTTTTTAAAACACTGTGTTCTATGTATCTGTTTTTACAGTAGCAAAAGGTTTAGAGTAATTAAGAAATTTTTATTTTTTGCATAGATTTAGCTATGGGAGAATATATATCCATGTTTGGATTTACTATGGTATATCTATTTTAAAATTTCATGGTGATAAGAATACTTAACATGAGATTTACTTAATTATTATAGACTACATTAGAATTGAGTCAGTTTTCTATATTATCCAGTAAAGTAGGTTCACTTTGAAAAACTATTTCAATCTCCATTAGCTATATTTTTCCTAGAGGCATGTAAATTCTTATTTGAATATTTCCTTTTTAGCTCATTTTATTAGTCTTCTCATGCTGCTTGTAAAGACATATCTGAGACTGGGAGATTTATGAAGGAAAGAAGTTTTAATGCCTCACAGTCCAGCATGACTGGGGAGGCCTCAGGAAACTTACAATCATGGTAGAAGGGAAAGCAAACATGTCTTTCTTCACACAGCAGCATCAAGAATGAGTGCCCAGTGAAGGAGGAAGCTCCTTATAAAACCATGAGATGTCATGAGAACTCACTATCATTAGAGCAGGATGGAGAAACTGCCCCTGTGATTTAATTATCTCTACCTGGTTCCTCCCATGACATGTGAACCACAATTCAATTCAAGATGAAATTTGGGTGGGGTCACAGCCAAATTATATCACTTATTAACTTTAACACATCATTTGTTATCCTTTTAAAAAAATCCTTCTCAAGGCTGTGTTAATCTGTTTATAACTTACAATTAAACTTTTCGAAATAAATTTAAATAGGAGACTGCAGTGTGTAAAGTATATGTCAGTGCCTGGCATAAACTAGACACTCAATTATTTTTAGTTTCCTATACCCACTAAAAGTATGTGTTTTGACTTTCCCTATAAAGTAATGCCAAACATTTCACAATGTAATAGCCAAACTGAAATTATGCTTCTATGATCTTTGAGAAATGTTCTTGGATAAATGAGTGAAAGGGAAATAAAAATAACCTTTAAGTGTTAGAAAACCTTTCAACCTAGCTATACACCAGCTTTACCCACTCACTTCCTGCTCTCTTCTGTGCCCTCTACCGACCACTGGCTGCAAGTCTGTATTAAATTAGCAAATTTAACTGTTTCGAACATACAAAAAAATGCAATTTTCCCCAGCCTATGCCTGAAAGTCATAAAACACAAATTATTGCTTTTAAGAATCATGATGTCTTTTTTCTTTTTTTAGTGGCACCAGGAAAATCTAGCTATAATGTAAAAAATGAGATAATATGGATAAACCTAAGTAGAAAATAAAAATCACATTAACTCTTCCTTCAATAGAACTATCAACATTTTTTGTATCTTCACTCCGTCTTCTCTACACAATATGTACATTATTTTTCTTACAAAAGTAGGATCACGTGGTATATAATTTGTGTAAACTTTCTCTTTTTGTATTAAACATCCATGGCAAACTCTTTCCAGGTAGATAAATGGATCATCAGAAATGGCTACATTATGTTCCACTGCAAGAATATCACACAATATCTTTATGGGTGCACATTAACTCTTCTTCCAGCTTTTCTTGTTGCCTTTTTAAAAAAATTTCCTCTCACGTCTCATCTTCTCCATGAAAATATGATAGAAGCTAAGGCCAACAGTGATAATAATTAATTTTGGTGGCTACAAATGACACCTATCTCAATATACACAGTATGTTGTTAAATACTTCTCCTGCCTCAATCTATTTCCTGCACGGTTTTTCCTTTTCCAACTAAATTGCATCAAAATATGCAGTATTAGTGCACATTTAGTGTGCACACAATAGTGAACATTTTGTAAGGATTTAAATTTTTTTTCTCAATAAAATTCAAGAAGACTTTTCACCTCCAAAAATAAGAGTTGACAGTCATGAAGAATCTGAATACATAAAAATAATGAGAGAAAAAGCTAAGGAATGAGGACTCCTAACTCAAGGGAGTTAGTCTATGCAAAGTAGAAATTCCAGAGAATATAATGGAACTGAAAGAACACAAGCAAAGATGAAAACGGTAGAAGAACATTTTGAGCCAAAGGAATATTTGAATTTGATACTTAAAAAGATTAACTGAAAAGAAATGGAAAAAAAAATATCCCCACATATCTAGGTATATCCAGGCAAAATTGTTGAATATAAAAGACAAATAAAACTTTCTATAAGAATCGAGACTTTTAAAAGCCTCATATATTCTATAAAGGAATAGAAGTCAAGCCATTTTCCCCACAGCTGAATGCCAAGCAGTCAATGTTTACAGAATTTTGAGCATTAAATCAAATTAACTCATGAATATTGAAGATGTAGTTCACAAGTACTCAAAGTAAGCAATAAAGCCATGGTTTAAAAACATTTTACAAATGTAAAAATATAATTCTTTACAGAGAACATGCGTGTTTTAAACCACAATAATATTAATCCATATTTTTATTCCAAGGTAATATAAGCAAATCCAGGAAATGGCAGGTGTTAGTGAGAGAAAGTATAAACTTTCTATATTTATTTTACACAGAGAAAGTCAGTAATAGTTTGTTTCTTGATACTAATAAGCATGATATATGTATTCAAAACCTAAAGGTAACTATCATATGCAGGAATAGGTAACTAAAATAGAAGACATAGGATATTATATGCAGGAATATACTGATATATCCTATATATCCTATATATCAGTATATTCCTGCATAAAATGATGTATTAAAGTTATATATATATATATATAACTTTATATATATATCACGTATTATATATATATATAATATATATATATATCACGTGTTAACTTGAATACATCATTATCATATAATATATTCCTATGATATATAGGATATATATATACACATACATAATATATATATATATCCTATATGTCAGTATATTCCTGCATATAATAAACCACCCCAAATATCAGCGGTTTAAAAGAACAGTAGTTATTTATTTTCTTGTAAATCTGTAATTTAGCTCAGGCTCAGTGGTGACAGCTCATCTCTGATCCAGGTAGTGTTAGGCAGGACAGTCCAACAGGATTGGATGGATGGGCAGGAAGATCTACTTTCAAGAGGACACCTTTATATGGCTGGCAAGTTGGTGCTAACGGCAGCTGCGGAGCTCAGCCCAGGCTGTTGGTCAGGGGCATTAGATGTCCTTCAAGACATCCTCTTTACAAGATGCTTGGGCTTTCTCCTGGGATAGTGTTTGGGTTCTGGGCTCTAAAATGATGTCTGAGTTCTGACTTTGTAGGCAAGGAGTTTGAATTGTATTTAATGCACAGTCAAGTCACTGGAGAATTTTAGGTGGGGAGTGGCATGATCTCTGGGTTCTGAGAAAGCTCCAAAAGAAGCAGGAAGCTGTATCATCTTTTATGACCTAGTCTTAGAGGTCACAGAATATCTCATCTGACGTACTCAGAAGTCTGCTCCAATTTAAGGTAAGGGGACATAGGCTCTATTATGTCCCTGTCTGAAGTCGTATATTAGATGCAGGGATATACTGATATATAAGATTTTGTTATGCTGGAAGAGAAATACTGTTGTGGCCATTTTAGAAAAGTACAATTAGTTTGTCTTCAAAATGCTAAAAAAAAAAAGACTTTCTTAAAATTAAAATTCAAATTTAATTATGTATGTTTAGAGACAGGTTTCACTCTGTTACCCAGGCTGGCACCTGGGCTCAAGTGATCCTCTTGCTTCAGCCTCCCAAATAACTGGGACTATAGGCCTGAGCCACCATGCCTGGCAGAAAAAAGTATTTTTAAAATCTCCAAATAGATGCCCTTATTTGGCTTGGTGGTTATGAAAAATTCATTGGAATAGAGGGATCTGGATTTGTATCCCATTTTTAATATTTACTTTCTGTATATCTGTAGAGATGTCCTTTAGGCTTCTTAAACCATCTGTTAAACGGAAATACAGATACTTAACTCATTGGATTCATAGTGAGATAATATACTTTTAAGCACTGAGCACAGTCACTGACACATATTACACACTCAGCAAATGGTAGTTTTTGTTTCTTTTTTTTTTTTCTTGAGATGGAGTCTCACCCTGTCACCCAGGCTGGAGTGCAATAGTGCGATCTCAGCTCACTACAACTTCCACCTCCCAGGTTCAAATGATTCTCCTGCCTCAGCCTCCCAAGTAGCTGGAATTATAGGCGTGCACCACAATGCTCAGTGTTTTTAGTAGTGATGGCGTTTCACCATGTTGGTCAGGCTTGTCTGGAACTCCTGACCTCGTGATCCACCTGCCTCAGCCTCCCAAAGTGCTGGGATTACAGGCATGAGCCACTGCACCCGGCCTAAATGGTAGTTTTTTAAAAGGCAAGAAAGATGACAATACTCCTGTTTACATTGCTCAGGATTTCTAGCCCAGTGATTGTCAAGCTTGTTTTTATCAGTAGAACCCTTTGCCTCTCTGGCCAGATGCAATGCCTGTAATCCCAGCACTTTGGAAAGCCAAGGTGGGAGAATTGCTTGAGGCCAGAAGTTTGAGGCCAGCCTAGGGAACTCAGGGAGATCCTCATCTCTACAAAAATAAATTTAGAAAAATCTCTGCTTCTCATAAACTCTTCTTCAGAGTCTGAATACAGAAAGCCAACAACTTAGCTCTTATTTGTAAAGCAAAGATGAGCAAGACTATAGCTCTCTACCTGCTAGTTTACCCTACCCCCTACAAAGACACCAAGAGCATCTGCTGAGACATTATGAAAACCATTAGTTTCAGCCCAGCTCATTTAATAGCATGGGAAAGAAAAATGATTGGTACAGCTATTAGAAAAACTATGGTAAATTATCTCTTTTTTTCCCCTTAACAATCTGATTGTCTATTTAGAAAACTGAGGAGAACAACTTAAAAACTAATAGAACTAACAAAACACTTTAGTTTGCTGACTAATACATTCATCATTTATGCATAAATATGTGTATATAAACACACACACACATATATAGCTGTAGATCCAAATCTCTCTCCCTCTGTATGTACACACTCACACACATATATATATATTCTAGATATAGATCCAGAATTCTTATAGTATTTTACCCAACAGATATTTGCATACTTATTACATGCCAGGTGTGTGCTAGTGACCAGGGAGGCAGTGGTGAATGGGGGAGCAGGTCTCACAGTCCAGCTTATGCTTTAATGTGGGAAACAGACACTTAATTAATGAGATTAGTGTTGGAGAGAAATTAATATGTATTTATTCACTTTTTATTGTTTTCCTCCTACCTCCACCGGTGTACAAGTCCAATAATAAATGCTATCAATTTCATATAAGAAAAAAAGAAAAGGCTGAAATTTTAAACAAGAAAGAGTTGGGGGAGGGTTGGGATTGAGGGAGGAGAGTCTATGGAAGGAGTGCTTAAGCTGATACCTGAAGGGTAGGGATGGGTGAAGTGCTGAGGAGGACAGGTGAAGTGGAGAGAGCAGCCTGGGGAGTGGAGGGGTTTAAAAGAGACCACAGGACTTTGTAGGCAAGGAGTTTGAATTATATTTAAGGCACTGTGAAATCACAAGGGAGGATTTTAGGGAGGGAGTGTCATGATCTCCTTAGCATTTTAACACAGCTGTCTCTGTCTCTGTGTAGGGAGTGGATCCAGCAGGGAGATGTCAGAAGGTCACTGAATCATCAGGGCAACACTGATAGTGGCTTCAGCTGGGTGGGCAGTCCAGATAGAAAGAAATAAACAGATTTCAGCTATGTGGGAAGTAGAAATGGAAAAATTGTTGACAAATCAGATACAGGGTTTGACGAAAGCAGAAAAGTACAGTTGAAAGGTTTTCAAACTTCCAAACAAATCTGATTTGTCCTCGTGGACACACAACTTTAGTGAAAAAGCAAGTAGAGGGCACCCAAATAAGTTTTCTTCCCTGGTGGAAGTGGTCTGTATTCAGTCTGCTGAAGCCACCCAGAGCATAGTCTACAGAGGAAGACAGTCAGGACTCTGATCCAAACTTGAGACCTCCACTATAAAGAGAAGATTTCAGGTGCAGGAAAAAAGGCACTGATATTTATGCTGATTAGTATGAGGATGCAGTTCTGTAGCCTGGGGATCACAGCCCAAGTGTAACTCTAGACTTGGGTGCAGTTCTGTAGCCTGGGGATCACAGCCCAAGTGTAACTCTAGACTTTTGGGCTAAAATATCCTGGTGTTGAACTTGGATCTCCTGCCATGATGAATCAGAGAACGGAAGGGATTTCGTAATAGAATACATCCAGCTCGTCTGTGGAATCCCTTTACTGGAAGAAAGGTGAATGATGACTATTCTCTGAGCCCTTCCAGGATTCAAACAAGCCTAGTGTTCTGAACGGTCAATTTTATTTAGTAAGTTTCACATAAAGTATTTGTATTAACAGACAAACTGTAAACTCATCTTTCCTAACATCAGATTTTCATGTTCTTATTTTACTTATATTAGCAGGCTAAATATACTATGGAACCTCAGTTTCTATGGTTCTATGACAAAATTGTTTAACTAACTGAATAACAAAGCTATTATCTAATGTATCCTTGTGCCTTACTTCCTTCATCTGTAAAATGAAAGTGGAAGACTCAATAACACATAACATGTACATAAAATAATTTATCTAATTCATTGTTTGTGTTCATGTGTTTACATGGAGTACTGGTTAAGAATGAGATTTTGCATCTGATACATCTTTGTACTTTACAACAGCTATTATGGCCATGAAACCATAAAAATTCATACTGAAGGAGCCTTTGGATGTAGCCTTTAATGTATTCTTTTATCTATTGGTGTACTCACTCATTTGACAAGTACGTATTAATGATAAATACGTACTTGTCAAATGAGTACATAAATAAGAAAGAGACTACATTAAAGGTGATATCTGAATTTTTTTTCAGCATGACATTAGAGTATAGTTCGCTATCATGGTTCATAAAAAGTCTTTTGGTAATGAAGACCTTTACGAATGTAATGGGGTTAGAAGCTATGTTCACTGCTTCATGCCCGCAGATTCGACATCCATAATAGGTGCCCAAAACATGAGAAAGGGGGCTTTAAGTCTCACAGAACTGACTCTAAACCTCAGCTCTGCCTTTGACCTGCCCATGAGACCTTGGACAAGTTACTTCACTTCTCTAAACCTCAGTTTCTTCCTGTGCAACCTGGAGATTATACGAGAACTGACTTCACAGTGGCATTGTTGGGATTAAATGAAAACACTTAGCATAGTTCCTGGTCCACAATGAGTACTCAGCAGGCTTCAACTATTATTAACTGACTGTTGCAAGTTATTTTATAAGCTTTAGAGGCCAGCAACAGTGGTCTCTAAAGCTTATCAAATGACTGTTTTTTTTTGTTTTTTTTTTTTTGCTTCCCCATTGCCCTACTACGATAAAGTTCTAGTGCTTTTTTTTTTTTTTTTTTTTTTTTTTTTTGTGACGACGTCTCACTCTGTCGCCCAGGCTGGAGTGCAGTGGCGAGATCTTGGTTCACGGTAACCTCTGCCTCCTAGGTTCCAGCGATACTCCTGCCTCAGCCTCCTGAGTAGCTGGGATTACAGGTGTCCTAGTGTACTTTACTAGGGTTAGACATTCAATAATACAAGTTGAATAGACTAAAACTAAACTGATTTGGATGGCAATTGAAACATTAAAACCGGCTCTGCTGCAGCATCTAGAAATGCCTATCACGTGTTCACTTTCACTTTTCAGAGTGCTTTTGCTTGTATTATCTGTTTAATCACCTCAACAAATCCTCAAGATCAGTATTATTATTTTTATAACACTGGTAAGCAAACAGGTTTAAAAAATTAAAGTGACTTGTCTGGTTCTTAAAGTGACTAGAACTTGTCCTCGGCTCTTATCTTGGGAATCCACATACTAAACTGATTTTGCAACATGAAAAACACCTTTAGGGAAAGTGAGAAGTTCTAACTTTACCCAGATGTTTTCTCTGTGATACCACCTATTTCATTTATTTCTCAATTGCTTGGTGCGTGGTAGCTTTTACTAGTAAATAAGAATATACAGTAGCCTCCTCCTTAGCCATGATTTCCTTTTCCCAGGTTTCGGTTACTTGTCAACTAAGGTCTGAAAGTATTCAATGAAAAAGTTTCAGAAAAAAACAATTCATAAGTTTTAAATTGTGCGCCGTTCTGAGTAGCATGGTGAAATCTTGCACCACCTCACCGTTTCCACCTGGGACATTAATTATTCCTTTGTCCAGTGTCTCCACTCTGTCTACATTAAGTGACTCACTTGCTGGAAAGCAGCCAGCTCAGTTATCAGGTTGTCATGATACTGCAGTGACTTTCTTCAAGTAACCCTTAGTTTATTTAATTATCCTATTTGATTATTAGTTATTGTTAATATTTTACTGTGTGTAATTTATGAATTAAATTTTATCATAGGTATGCATAGGTAGGGAAAAGCATAGCATATATAGGGTTCAGTGAAGAAAAATCACAGTGTATGTGGGGTTCAGTACTCTCCGTGGTTTCAAGTACTCACTGGGGTTCTTGAAACACAACCCCTGAGGATAAGGGGGGACTACTGTATACTTTTAGTACTTCAATTTTTTTTAAAAAAACATTGATCAACAGATAATGTATGTGTGTTCTCTATGCAGTTAGGCATCTGTGAACATTCATTCATTCATTTTTTAATAGCATTCCAAAATGGTGTTTTTATTCTGTTATTTTTTTATTACAATTATACCTTTATTAGAATTTTTCAAATTTAAATTATGCATAATTCAAAAATACCAAAAAGAACAGATGGTAATAGAACATTCATGAACCCACCACTTAATACTATGCCTTATGTGCTTCATAATTTTTTAAAGAAATAAAATATTACAGCTACTGTTGAAGTTAAGCTGGATCCTTCCTATTTTACATTTTAAACATTTCAGGGCACATGTATAGTTTATCAACACTGTACATTTTCTTGCCCTGTACATACTTCTGTGACCTGCTTTTTCAATTTAACAGTTTTCAAGACTTATCCATGATATATAAGTAGATTTTTTAAAAATTTCAATAGCTATCAGATGAACAGATTTGTTTGTTTAATTATTTATTTGTTTACTCTGTGGTTGGTGGATATTTATGTCGTTTCCAAGTTTTTTCCACTAAAATAATGTGCATCCTTCTGTAATATTATCAGTTCTCTCAGGCATACTCAAAAGTGGAGCTGCCGGGTCAAACAGTGTGTGTATGCTCACATTTAATAGGTCTTGTCAAATTGTTTTTAAAACTACTATTGGCACTTTAACCAGAATGTTTTCTGTTGGAGCTTTCTT